TATGTGTATGTATTTAATGTGTATATGTATATTTATGTTGGTTAAGTAACAAGAAAGCACTAGAGCTATTTTTTGATAGGTCAAAGCACTAAAACTATTTCAAATGTTTCACTCGGCTTTTTCAGGGAAGGCTCCTCATGGAAATGAATTACATGTTGGCCTATGGCTCTGCTGAGGCTTCACTGAGATTATTGTGGAAATTTGGTCTTCTGGATATACTTCTACCAATTCAGGTTAATATATTCTGAATTCTGTTTCACCCTATGGTCATTTAAATTACATTTCTAATATAGCTTAATTTGCAGGCAGCATATTTCGTCCGCCATGGTTTTAGAAGACGTGATAAGAGGTCTAACTTGCTTTTGGTAATTTTTTTTGTAGAAATCTTGCTCTGATGCAAGATGTTTGTTTTCTTCTTTTTGCGTCCACCATAGACTCCTGCCCTCTGTAAGGTACTTTAGGGGCGAAAATTTTCTCCCCTTAAAAAAGTAGTACCTATTGGCCTTTAGATGATGGAAACCATGGTGGTTTTTAAATTATTTTGCTCAGTCATAACTGATTTATTTGACTGCATTTGTGGCTTTTAATGTGGGTAATGCCTTGATGTGGTAGACTTTGGACCATAAGTTCATTCATTGTTAATTTAATGATGAGATAATCAAATTCTCGTATAAAGCCAAACGGAGAGAAGAAACAACTATGGTTTTTTTGTCGGTTTGCTATTAACTTGGTGTTGATCTAATGGTTAATCATAAGGTTGTAGATCTCATATGACAATCAAAGCTCTTGTAAATGCAAATAGCAAGTTTAAGATCAGAACTGAGTGAAGAAGCAACAACTTTAATATATTTAGCAAAGAGTTTTTCATGGTTGAGTTGTTTCACAAAATGTGCCATAAAGATAACATTGTTTTGTTATTTCTTAAGAAAATAATACCAAGTGAGGTGCATGTGTGTTCTTAGTATACATGTCATCCTGCTTATTTTATACTTCTCTTTTACATTAGATGGCCTATACTACACAATGAAGAGAATCATGGTTTCCCTGACATCCTATTTGTGCAAACAATCTATTACCAACATCCAGATGCAGATTTGTTCTGGTTCCTCATCTTTTTGTTGATGGACTATTTTATCACCATGAAAATAATATCTTTCCTCCTTTAGTTTCCACATGCAAGTTTTGACATGTCAGCAATTTTGCATATCTCATTTCTTGAACCTATGTTATGTTGGTTTTGGTTTGATGAGTGAGAAGTCAAAACTATTATGATTAACTTGTTTCTGCTTTTCTTTGCAGTCTTTATTTTCCAACCTCGATAAATTAGTGGCCCCCGATAGGCCATGCCACAGTAGCTTATGGTAAGATTCTCTAAACAGGCTGAGCAAGTAAGATGGTTTTGTAAGTCATTCTATGAATCAGTTTCAATTTCAATGTCATGGGATATTCACTGGATTGTGCAGTATTATTCCTACTTCCGCTTGATAATTCTTCTGCATCAGGGACCAGAACCTTTCCTCTAAAAAGATGGTTAAAGAACTGTTGAAGATACTAGATAGAAAAGGGAAACCAAACAGCAAAATTCATACATATATGTGTATAAAGGACTGTTGAAAATGCCTTATAAAAATGGGAAATTCAAGGAAAAATCAAATATGTTTGTATGTATGTAAGATTGTAATATGTTGACAGCCTCAAAAGAATCTATGTACCCCTAGATAGTAACTTTGACAGAAGTGAATGCTCTATTTAGAAGAAAAAAAAGAAAGTAAAATGTAAATTGACAAGTTCTCAGCTGATTTAAAGAGCAGATACATCTCTTGTGCATTCTCAGTCAGTTTGACTTGGGCTTATTACAGGTCCAGGTGTGCAAATGTTCCACATATGATAGAATGACTTTTCCTCTGGTTCCCAGTGTAATACTTTCAATAGATCTCTGAGTCAGATAAATGCAAGTGAATAATCTTATTGGCAAGTACTGAAAACATGCAAGTACAGATATTTTTTTGTCAATATGTTTTAGTCATGTTAGTACGTTTACTTTAAGTCCTGCTTTCCAGGAGTCATTTAGCCTTTTAAGAGATTCTTATGCCAATAGAAAATAGAGAGAACTTTTAGTATTTTTTTTATTTTTCATTTACTTTATATGTTGGCCTGAGGTAAATTTAAATGGAGAAACATGGTTAGTGAGGATTCATATAGCCGCACCCAACTTTGGTTTAAGGCATAGTTGATGTCGTTGTAAATGGAAACATGCAGGTGAACAATTCTATTACAAGAGAAATTTGGCGCATTTCATGGTCTCATAATGACAGATTCTGTTGTATGTTTGGAGCTGACATCTTATATACCTATAAATTTCAATTGATTGGAGCTGCAGTCTGCATTATTGCAATTGAAGTCTACCTAGTCTAGATGTGTTGCATATATTCTGTCATTCATGATTACTCGCCAAAGAATTAATAATTTTAAAAGAATGTGAAGGGTGTATGTTTCATGCATTAGCTCAAGTGTAACTGACTTGTCTTCTGTTAACATGTCAAAAAAGGTTTAAGAACACAATTTTCTCAGTTTGTTCCCAAAATGTAGATGCAAATTTCTTTTCTTAAACTCAAAATGCATTAAAATTCTAGGAAGCTATTTTCCTTGTTTGATCAATTTGCCAAGCTTATCTGAATTCTATATGTTCTAGGGTCACAATTTTGGCTTTCCATAAAGCACTCTCAGATCAACCAAGGGACCCTTTGGTGGTTGCTGCATTTAGCCTCGGTGTTCATAATGGAGGTGATTTGTCAGAAGCTTTAAGTATTGCCAAACGGATTTCTGCACAACATGATGGAACCTTTCATGAGTTGGAGTCACGGGATCTGGACTTGGCAGCTTTAAAAGAGGAAGTTGTGGAACTGGCAACTTCAGTTCAAAGGGCACTGACTAATATGACAGATGAGTATAGTGTCTCACGAGCAATGGCCAACTACCCTAAAGCACCGTACTCAGACCTAGTAAGCTGATTTCCCTTGTATTCTTTCATTTTTGGTTCTTGCTATTCTTCGTGACAAATCCTTTCTTTCCTCTCTTGGTCATTTGGCCTTTGGTTTCATTCTCGTTTTATATTGTCATACTGTGGCATAGGACAAAAGAAAGTTGATACTCATGTGCCAAAGAAAGAGGCAGGTTAATCTCTTTCTTGTTCATCCTTCTGCAGGTATTTATTCCATTAGCACTGTATTTAAAGGCGTGCAAGGTTTGCCAATGCGTTAGAATGGGAAGGGAGAAGGGATTTGTAGCCAAGCAAGGTAGCAAGATAGACTATGAGTTGTTAGCTTCAGGTAGCCTACAGGAAGTCCGACATGTCTTTGCCAGGATAGTCTTCGATACCATATATCCATTAAATACTGGCGAGGATGATACCTAAATTTTATAAGCGCTGTAGTCACGTGTATTTTCCAATAGAATGTAGTAGCAGTTGCAGGAAAATTGATAGGTGTAGCTTGTTCCAATAAAAACAGTTGTACTATTAGCTTTGATAAAATATTGTGTATACTGTCATCATGTATTTGCTGGTGTTTGTTACAAATTTTATATTGAATTGAGAAAAGAAATATTCTCTCATAACATGAGAACCATAAAGTGGAGAAGCAACATGCTCTCATTATGAATTTGACATATTATTGTAAATCCAGAAAACGTGAATTTACAGACAAAGTAATACTTGAAACCCAATAATGCCGAGGATGATACATCCTCTAAAACTAATACTACCATATATCAAATGTCAAAACTTTGAATTGAAAGAATTTCCAGTTCCCTTCTATCTCTTACGTGCAATCATCAATGTGTTCTTCATTTCTGTGCTGGAGGAGGAGCACCACCGGTGGTTGGCCTGCAAAGTGAGGTACACAAGCACCAGTTCAAGATATTTTAAGTATACTACAAGAGTATCTGTTGCTTGCTTGATGGCAAATAAAAGCTAAAGAAGAAGACACTTACAGGCCAACAAAAACTTTGAAAGAATCATAGATTCCCCATTGAGCTCCAGTGAGAGTTCCAATCATGAATATACGAAGGGGAAGACCACGAGTACAGAGACCCCATACTCCTAGCTTATTCACAGCCTACAAAAAGGGCAAAAAATGAAACAAATCCATTGTTCAGACTTAAGAATGAAACCGAATATTAGAACAGAGGACACAGTTCAATGTTTACTCACATCGCCAACAGTTGCCCCCTTGGCATTGTTGAGGAAAGAAACTAGGTTATCAGCAGGGTGTGACACAACAGCACAAAGAATACCAGCCAAATATCCACCAGCAAAACTCACACCAAGCTGTGTAGTATTGCTGCATTGGTCTTTTGGTGTTGGAATGGCATGTTTATAGAGTTGTTCCACTATGGTTTCAAACGATGCAAACTTCATCATGGTGTCTGTAAAGTAACCAAAGTGAAATTCAGTCAATCTTGCCAGTGTTCATTTTTCCACAGCAATAGCAATCAAGAAAGAGTAATTAAACAGATCTCAAGCAGTTCGGTGAATAAAAGTTACACTCATTATGTGACACTCCTATTTAGTTTGTTCCAAAAAAGAATGAAACATTTACATATTTGAAAAACTTCAAGCTGAACTTCTCATTTAACACTTAATGACATGATTTTCTAGCCATAAAAATGTCATGATATGTTTATGAGCACAAATTCTTTGAGAACTTATAAATACTGTCATGTAAAATGAAACTGAGGAAGTACAGAATCTGAATGATACCTTTAGAAAGGTTTCCAAGTTTAGTAGTAAAACAGAGTATCAAATGAAAAATCAGAGGAAATATGTAAGCTTACATGGAATTTGTCGTCCCCATAGAGGTACAATCCCCTTGTAAAGCCTGTAACACAAAAATTCAAATTCCAAATTTTCGTCAGCACATAAGAAAACCCCTCACATTAACAACAACAAATTTGTTCAACATAAACTAGGCATTACCCTGCAGCTCCTTCAGCCTTGAAATTTGGGAAGTCCATCAGACAAGCCTCTAGCAAATCCGGGCTGAGTTTGAACACGAACTTTGACAGCCTCAAATGGGCAGAGAGCAACATCAGCAATAACTTCAGCAGAAGCAGAACCAGCAAGGTAAATCAAAGTTTTGTATTTGACAGCATTCTCCGCGCCAGCAAGATCTGAGTAGTACTTCTTGAAATATTCATAGAATCCGTATTTGCATGCTCCTTGTGCACTGTAACCAAGGAAAGTAGGTGCCCAACCCCTAAATAATCCTCTAATGCCTTGCTCCTTAAGTAAAATTCCGAAACCAGAGGAAATACTCTTGAACTTTGCAGGATCAATCTGATAAATCAAACATTTCAATCATGAAAACATTAAATCCATCACTAATCCAATCTATTCTGGAAATTTGACGTTTTTTTTGTTCATTTTGATTTTCTCTTTCGGATTTCAAATCAGCTAACAAAGAACAGAATGGAAGAGACGTGAAACATCAGTCAATAGAAAGATTCTAGCTTTTTAAAATTAATAGAGGATTGATTGATTATGGCTGGATTAAAACAAACATACAAAATCCAGTCTAAAATGAACAATTTTATGCAAGTCTAAGTATCGTCTTTTCATGATCGTTATCTTTAATTATAATTTAAGAGTTGAAGTTATGTACAACCACAGTAATAAAAAATAAATCGACACTAACTTTGCGATTCAAGTGGTAATAACAAATTACCTAGCATTTAGCACTTCTATTTGTTGTTGTAGGTCAACTTAACTTGATATGCACGTGACATATTAAGCGTCAAGGTTAATTAGTAATACTCGAAAAGTTAGAAAATAGTAAAATGTATCCTCTGCTATAGTATCCCTAATATATGTATACCTGCATGTTGCACTTGATAAGATCAAGAGGGGTAACAGCCGTGTGTGTAAGACAACAGCTTAGACTGCCCCCGATCGTGCTGGCTGCGTAAAACGCTGGTGTGTACATTTCTACCTTATAACCTGAATCCTCCTTTGGTGCTGCAATCAAGAAATTCTTCTGATCCATATTGCCTTGATGATTGTCCAAAGTAGTACTGAAATTCTTTGAAGAATTAACTGATGTTGTACTGTAAAGATAACTTGGGATTAAAGATTCTATATCTGAAAACGCCATTTTTTCGCCGTTTATTGTTTGAAAGGCAGAGGAAAATGAACAAGGAATTATAGAAACTCTCCAAGGAAGAAGGAGAGTTGAAGATGGCTACGTTATGTGAAAGCTACTTGTTTGATCAGGCTTTCCTGTCAAGCGTGACTTTTAATTTGGACCAATCTATATCTATATATCTATAGTGAATCATAGACAATGTGACGTGACATCTTTCTACGTCTATTTCTATTATTTTTTGGCTTTTCTTTCTTATTTAAATTAATTATTTTATTGAAAAAGATTTAATTTATTACAAATAATTAAATATTATATTAATAGAGAAACATTTACAATAAAGACTCTTTGTAACGATCTGTTAGGACGTTTTGGGCAATAGACCTATTTCTTTCATAAAAGAACCTTCTCGTAAATTTTAAATGAGAATTTTGAACTATTCGTTTAACTAAGTTTATTAAGTTAACATGTATTTGTCTTTTTAGTTGACAGTTAATGGGTCAAATCTGAAAGTTGCGGGGTTTTTTTGCAAACAACCACTATGATAAACTTAATTATGCTCCATAACTATAATTTGCATATTTACGAGTTGTAGCTACAGTTTAAATTATACTCTCATATTTATAATTCACGAGTTTGTATAATTCACGGGTGAGTTTGTATAATTTGCGGGTACGTTTGTAAAATTGAGCTATTTTTGTATAAACTCGAAATAACAAATTTATACAAACACAAACATCTGAACTTTAAACAATTCTACAATTATATTATACAAAATTACATTATAAAATTTTACACAAATTATATTATACAAACGTACGAATTATACAAAATTGAAACCTCAACCCATGTAACTATCATTGAATGTTGGTTGTGAGTGGTAATAAATAAAAGTTATAGTTACAATGACTAATTAACTAGTGTATGTTTGCTTAACCATGTAATTTCACCATTTATTTATTACCTTATATCACTTGGCATATGCATAAAAATAAAATAAGACATAATACATAAGCATGACCCTTAACTTGGCGTCAGTTGACAACTATGACCTTTAACTTTGGATGTGCACAAGTAGACACTTAAACTTGTATAAAATTGAACAAATAGACACATCCGTCCTACATGGAAATTTGGTGTCCTACGTGGCGTTCTACATGTATTATGCCATGTAGGAAACGTGTGTCTACTTATTTAATTTTATACAAATTTAAGTGCATACTCAAAGTTGGAGGGTATAGTTGTCCACTGAAGCCAAGTTAAGAATCATGTTTATGTATTATGTCATAAAATAATGAGATTTAACTTTTGAGTTCATTATTAGTTTAGAGAGAATATTTTGAGCGAGAAGATAAACCAAGTGCGGTATCGAAAAAGGAACACAATGTAGGTAAAATTATTTTTCTTATATTTAACAAATTCCAACCTTCCGCCTAAATGTTGATATCTATGATTTACTGTGCACTATTAGATACTACTAAAAATAGTGGGATTTGAATTGAGAATGGTTGTATGGACAAAAGGCTTTGGGACAATTTTGATAAGTAATAAGGGTTGTCAAGTAATACTGGCATAACGATTAGGGCAATAATAAGCTAATGATTGGATGATGATAGATAAATTGTAAATTGATAGATTTTGCACTCTTTTTTTTCGTGGGATTCTGCACTTTCTCATGGTTAACTTAGCTGTGATTTCGGCTCTTTTCTTATGGTCATATTATGATTTAAGTTTAGACATATTAAGTGTATTGTATTGTATGAATATCATTAGATTTATGTTATATGAAGAAATAATTGAGACTTTATCCTAGGCGTGAGATTTAGAAAATATGAGACTTAAACATATTAACTGGCATCGACGTATTAGTCTATGCTGTCATGTACTGATTCCTACTTGTATTATTTATGTTTTCTTTTGTGGAGTGAAACGAGTGTAAGCGAGTTTGACTCGCCCTCAATCCTAGCTAGTCTCCAGCACATCAGATTTCAGGGTGAGTTATTTCTTCTAGCTCGTGTTAGATTCTCTCAGTCATAGCATGATGTCCTTAGTTTTCGGACACAAACGATGCTATTTATCTATTATGATGTCTTTAATACTCTCATAGTTGGTATTTGAGGATTATATGTCTCTGATGTGATGACTTTTAGGTTTTTAAAAATGATATGTAATAGACTCTAGTGAATTCTTACTTTTTACTTTAATAAGATTTGAGTTTTTGTATTATTATTGTATTTCGTAAGTTAAATGACTAATATAAGTTGGGATTTCCATTCGTTGGTTCGTCCACTTAGAAGGTTAAGTATGACTGTCATTCATGATCCATTTTGGGTCTTGACACTCTTCACATGCCAACTTACAAGAAGTAATTGTTCACAACTCACACCTCTTTAGTTTCTATTCTTAATTAAACAAAAATATTTTTAGCACCCATTTCATCATATCATCTGGCTCGATTACAAAAAGACCACAAATTTTTAAGTCAATGAAGCATTACACATATGACATATATTCTTCCAGCTTTCACCTACTCTAACAACGTTACGACTTCTTTTGTTTTTTTTTTATGTCAAACGAAGTCAAATTTGTACATACACTAAAAAAATGTTTTTTTTTCTTAACAAAATGTAAAGTACTTACCATAATTATATGTTGTCACGCCCCGAGCCTACACCCTGGGCGAGACTGGCACTCGGAGACCATTGTTGGCCCCAAGTGAACCCTTAGCCTGGCATACTTAACTCAGCCGAAGACTTAACTCAAATAAACAGTATGAAATAACAACTTAAAGAATAATAAACTGGCCAAAATGGCACTTAAGTCATTAAACAACATCTGAAGGATAAAGAAAGACATATGCACTAATAACTATCTGACTGTTTATGAAGCCTCTAAAATACTGAGATGGATGTTGGGACAAACCCCACAATATCCTAATAACTGAAAGACTGAAAGCGAATAAAAGAGTCCTCCGGAATGCAAGGAGGCTCACTACTGACTCTGAGCTGTTCAACTAGATCAACGATGCGCCGGGATACCGATCCTAGTTATCTGTGTCTGCATCATAAGACGATGCAGGCCAACTGGTATCAATACATTGAATATACGAGTATGCGAGTTGGAATGCTAAAACAACATAGGCTGGAAAGAGAATCTGAAAGGAACACTTACCTTGGCTCTTCTCAACTCATGAATATTAACTGAACTCATTTCAATATAAAGCAGTTTAAACAAGTGCAATATAAAGAAAAATTGTTTAAAAAATGATGTCAACTTTGTGTATGTACAAAGATACAACATAACTCTGAAATGTATGTAAAATACAATAAACTGATGTATACAATAACTTTTGTGGGAGTTTCTCTGACCGACAACCATCACATAAGAGTTATAGTGATGATATAACAATCTACCTCACGTTGCCAATGCATCCTATACCCGACCAAAGGTATAGAACCTGAACTGCCCAATGGATCCACTAGTCTATTTCGAAAATGATTCATCTAAAAAGTATGACCCCTTTCTACCCATGGTGGCTACATGGTTCTATGGTGATGTGAGTTATCTAAACTCATGTTCGTCTCCAATTCGGTGTTCAATACTACTCTAAAAAATATACTAGCTCTTTATGTTTTAAAACATACTTCTTCTCTGATTTGAGATTAGTGCTCAAAAACTTAGTTCAAAGGCTATTTTGGAAATCTCAGTTTCTCTTTTTGCTTCATTTAGAAAGCTATTACTCTTTTCTAAAAACTTTCCCGAAGGCTCTTTGGAAATCTCAATTTACGCTCTTATTTAAATGTGAAAATATTTTAAATCTTTTTGGTAATACATAGTCCCCTGAAGAGAAGATCTTCTACTTTACTTTTTTACTGAACTCAAAACTTAAGTCTTAAAACAAAGTTAAAACATTTGTGAAAGACTCTTGGAAAATTTTAAGAACTTATCAAAACTTGACTCTTGACTTTGATCTTAACTGATCCTT